TGCTACTTGTATCAACTGTTCCATTATCTATAGAATCTTTCCTATTATAACCGTTGTCTCTGTCGTTATTTCTTGGACTGAAACTTCTATTGATAGGACTTTGAGTCGCGCTACGATATGTCATTGGACTTCGGTTCGGTGACCGAGATCGCTTTAATGATCCTGAGCTATAAATTTCTCGAGATTCTTTGATAACTGGCGAATATCTTGGATCATGTACAGTCGGACTTGGATTTGGAGAGCGTGATCTACTTATTGTATTGGACGTATAAACGTCTTTCGATTCTTTCATAAAGCTAGGACTTTGTACAGTCGGAGATCTTGAATGATTGTATGTAGTGGTAGAATAAATTTCTTTCGTATCTTTAACCATAGATGGACTATGAAGATTTCGTGAAACAGGACTATGATTTGGAGATCGAGTATGATTAAAAGAAGTTGATGTATGGTATGTCGAGCTAGAATTTTCCAACGAATAATTATTCGACGTCTTATAAGTGGAGGTAGTTTGCTGTACGGGAGAGTATTCGCGTACTCGTTGAGTTGGGCTGGGTAATTTGTACGTAGGCGAAGAATAAGTTTTCTGCTGCACAGGACTCGATCGATCAGTTCCAACCGAAACGTTCAAACCATTCATTCGTCTTTCCAACGAAGATAATTTAGATCTTTCGAGACTAGATTCTTTTGACCTTTTCGATCCTTTTTGAGTTCCCACTCGAATAGAAAATGGAGAACCTCGAACATCGGAACCATTGAAGTATACATAAACTCTGTACTTTCCAGATTCTGATGGGACGAATGAAACTTGGTATTGCATATGTCCAAGATTTTCCACTCTGAAAGGAACGGACTGTTTATCATGGACTAAATCTATTATTACATCGCCAAGACCTCCGGTTCCTGTTGCATCAACGGTAAATGAAAATGGTTGTCTTGGCAAAGCACCTTCCGTATCCAGTAGCTACAAATATTTACTGAATATCATCGATATTCAATAAAATAAATATGAAAATATACAATATAAAAACTGATGTACCTTTACTCCGTTAGGATCAAATACAAAGCATGTAAATGGTCCACCTTGAATGTGATTTCCTTTATGAGTTATCGCGATACTCCATTCTCCTGTCTCATCAGGTTGGAATGTCGCAGTATGAACTCCATCATTCTCTTTGACAGGACACGACAGAGATCTTCCAGTGGGGGACCACGCAGTCACATCAATGCCATCATGACTAGTTCCTAAAATTTATTTGTTTTATAAATATAAGTGATTTGATATAATTTCTCATTTATTTCACATAAAATATTTACCGTAACTGTTGACTAGAACTTCGACGATAGATCCTATCGCGCACGGATCCATACCAGGCGATTTAATTTTGGTTAAAGGAGGTAAAACTCTAAAGTAATAGGGACATCCATCTACTAATTCTCCATCGTTATATACCATTAACTGTGACGCAAATAGTAATGAACTTCGGGTATTAATTGCTCATATAATATGCGCAACATGTAATGTATTTAGAATTATCGAATCAAACCTTATGCATTCCGACTTCAGTAGGTATGAAGGTTCCTTTCCCATGAATTCCGTTCCACGTGAGTCTACATTCTATCCGTCCGCTCGGATTTATCACTTCACCACGTACTTCTCTTGTATTTACTTCTTTGGTAAGAATCTCTAATTTGAAATGCGCCTAAAAGCAATGATTATAATCACTGTTACATTTTGTTAATACATATAACAATATACTTGGAAGAATGAACGCAAATAAGTTCTTAGGTAATAATTAACGAACTAACCGGCTGTTGCACTCTAGCGGAAGTGCTATCAATGTGAACAACAATTTGTTTGCTCGCTTGAGGGCGAGGCTTTACCCATTGAAAGTTTGCCGCATACGCCATAACGCCTAAATGTTCTACGTTTTGATCTGCCATATCTTTTGCCTTGAGAATAGGCTCCACGCCCAGTTTTTTGCCTCCGTCAATACCTTTTGAAGAATATATAAAGTAAACATAGTACTTTGCACGATAAAGTGAAAAAGGAAAAACAAAGAGAGTGAAAATACTCTCTTACATGTAACTACACATAAATGCTATTTACCCATCTGTATATTATGTTCCCATGCAGAAGGATCGGTATCGATTTTATCGTAAACAGGAGCTGGTCCACCCAAGTTTCTGACAATGCTACATAAAGTTCTCCCGTCGTTCCAATCGGTCTGTAAGAAATGATTCGAAAATAGAAAAATGTTCGTAGTATGATCTCATACCAGTGTAAGAAGTACTCACTCACCGTAAAATTTTGTACTGGATGAGATAATTGTGAGTTAACCCATCGTAATGTTGCATGAAAACCTGGCGAACCTTCCTTCATGAAGTATGATAAATAGGTCATTCCCGATAATTCGTCCAAATATGGAGATGCAAGATACTCTGGTTCCAACACCATAGGTATATCGAATTCACGTTTTGAAATCTCCATAGCTTTTCGACAGTTATACACGCTATAAGTATAAAATTTCTTATGGAATTTCTAACTTGTAATTTGTAAAGTAATTATAGAAAAGTTAAGATTCTGCAATTGTATACCTATCGTTAGGATCGAGCCGACGCCAGTGGGGAAATAGACCTGGTTGACAATAATCAAGCAACGCACTCAGGTATACGCCTGAATTCCAATCTGTAGTGAAGTTATTGACTCTACATTCTGGCAAGACCGTCTGTAAAATGTGTATGTATTGATAAAAAAAACAGCCTTTAGCTCGTAAGACTTAAGAAGTTTTCCTATGTATCAGTGTGTAACTCAAAATATATAAGAGTAAATCTACTCAAAGTTACTGGTGTAATTACATATATGTACTGACCTTGAGCCATGCAAGCATAAGTTTCCTTGGTGGGAACTTGGACTTGCCTATTTGGTACCTTACAATGAGCGACCATATTAGACCAAGGATCAGTTTCAAATTTCCATTGACGATATCTACGTTACCTACAAAGAACAAGTGTAAGATTAAAATTATTTATGTTATTTAAATTTCTGTCAATAAAAAGAAACTATACAGATAAAGCTGATCATTACCTTAACTGAGGTTTAATGTTAGTAACTCTGCCATCATTAAGTGTAAGTAAGTATTGTTAAAAAAATTATAAAAGTTTCTTCACGTGTTAAAGACACTTAATAAGGCACTTACGCGCTAGAAATTATATTAGCTGCTGGATACACACATGAAGCGTAATTGTAATGGTGCTAGACCATGATCTCGTAGGCGCCAATAGAACACCAGAAAGGCAATGACCTCGAAGTTTGATTTACAAGCAACGTCGTCACAATTGTATTTTTCATTTCGAAAGATAAGTTTAATTGTGCATAAATGTTATCGTTGTAGCACTGTTAAAACATTAATTTCGAAAAATATTATTAAAAAATGTGATGTATGGATTTACTTGTATATATAAGTTTATACAAAATACACTTGTGACGATGATCCACATTTAACTATTACGCTTATCGTGATGTGACTCATAGCATAGCGCATACAAGCCATGTGTTTGTGCATTTTGCCACTGACCACCGAGAGAGCTTCTTTTTACATATATATATATATATGTATATATATATGATTCCGAACATTTTAATTGCTTGATGTTTTATCGAAGAAAATAATCTGTAGTTTATATGGCACATTCGATTAGTAGATAAAGTTTCTCTGTTCCTTACAACCAGTTAGCAAGAAAGAAATTACATAATTAATTGATCAAAAGCACATAATTATGTAAATCGAACAAATCAAGGAATCATGTATGTAATTATACACAAATCATCTAGGAGAAGTACTAGAATGGAAAAGCGATTATTAAATAATGTGACGCGTTCCTTGCTACAGTAATCGTATACATATATGTACTTGGTATAACATTTGTATCGTATTCTATAATTGAGAAATTAGCGTAACAGAGAATTTATCTCACCGATGTTGACGAGTTTCACACCGTCAGCCTCGATAGCTTGAAGGGCTGTTGAAACATTTTCTAAATGATGATGTTGATTAGCCGGTCTAGGATTCCATCGAGGCAAACGTCGTTTAGTAAGTACCTCGACAAGAGCGCAGAGTCGTGTACCATCGCGAAAATCTTCAACGAGGTCGATCACAGGACCATTTGCAGCATCGACCGCGTGTTTTAAGTGTTCGTTCACCCAATTTCGGAAAGTGTTCGCTTGAATTTCCACCCAGAGATCTTCGTGTCCTTTGATAGGCATTCCTTTCGCTGCCGTACCCTCGGCAGACCGGGCTACGAGACCCACTAATTCTTCTGGTCGTAATTGTTCGGTCGATTCCATTTTTGTTCCTATTGTGTACAGATTGAACAAATTATACCGTATAAATTCTTACTTACTACTAATATAATATTCTTAATTAAAAAATAATAGTTCGAGATAATTAAACGCGAACTATAAATCAAGTGATTTAATATGTTCAGGGCAAGAGATAATAGCAATATCGAACTTTCTTGAGTACAACATAATAATTTATTGACTTCCCAAAATCAGTAAAAGATTCGATTGATTGCGCGATACTGTTGCCCCGCGAGTTCGTTAAAATATATCTTATGGTGAAAGTAAATGTCGGTACACTGCTATGTTTCTAATCATCGATGCATCTTATGTAGTTTATATCCGTTAAAATGAAAATCCAGCGCTCCGCTACTTCATTATTTGCATTCATTAAATCTCTTACGGTTACAGGCAAGAGAAAGGAAACAAGAAAGCGTAGAAATAATATTGCAGTTCAGCCATTCTGTTCTCGTGTTCTTTATCTGCGAAAGACGTCTCATCAAAAATCAACCTATTACTAATCAAATTACTAATATGATACTTATAGTAATGTGACATCAATTGCACGTGCCAAAGGAATTGCTTCGTTACGCTACACTATGTTATGACATCACTGTTCTCTCAAAACCTTGTCCGACCGGTGAAGCTTGCGTAAGTATGTAAAAATTTTACATTGAACCAAGTAAACTTCGACCGACGATGCTATCGAACATTACGATCACGATAGAATCGAATTCTGGAATCGAATTGTGGTATCGTACGTTTATCGTGTAATGTTCGATTTCAAAATTCGATTTCGAGATATAACGTAAATAGCGAAAGTAAATATAAAACCAGCAAGAACAAAATTACCGAGCAACAAAAATACACTTTTAATATTCGACTATGTATGATATTTTATACTAACGTTGTAAGAACGTATTGCAAGAAATTAGTTAATCACAAGAATAGAAAAAATAAGTTCTTTTACTGTTTCGTGGGAAACTTTAATAGAGCACAGATAGATATCGACGTTACAGACTTGCACCTACAGAGCTGATATATACGAAATTTACTTGCTTTCCTTGCAGCTTCACCACATTTATCTTGCCGAATTTTTGTATTGTCAATCACTCAATTTTTGGCATATTCCACAATATTAATTAAGATTTGACAGGCGCTAACAGACGTGGTTCTAAACGACTTAACAGGATAATTGTTTATGATCGATGGAAGTCATTCTAACGTAAGATAATAGATAATTTAGTTTCTAGAATGTGTGTACGTAGATTGTGTAAACTTTGTACGAAGAGCATTCGTCGATTGGTCAATAGTTAATGAAGTGACCAATCGGAATCTTCGTTGAAAGAGCGCGATTTGGAGTAGGTTTATTCAAAGAATACGCAAAAGGATAATTCCGAAATTATGCAAAAATTTTGATCGTTAAGAATGAAGTTCACGTCACCGAAATAAATATTATAAACGCAAATTGTTTTATTCATTCACTCGCACAACTGAAGACGTAAGAAAGTAAGAACGTTGTGGTATGCGAACTGATATTTACGTCGTTATACTGCGAAGCAACTTCCTGAACACGAAATTTCATGGAACCGTTCCGAAGGAACGCTATTCCTTGATTTACACGATTTTTCTTTGAAACAGCTTGCTCCACTCGTTGATAAAATTAAGATGGACTTTAACGTGCCGATATACTATGCGAGAAACGCCATTTTTGGTTGTCGAAGATTTCCGGATCGTACCGTTGTCGACGATTGTTCTTCGACGCGCGTGAGCTCACTGAACTAACATGAAAAACCCCTTCTTTTCTCAGCTCAACACAAGTGCTTTCCGAGACCGTTGGAACTTGGAACACACGATTGTGATGAATATAAGCATGTATCTATACATCCACGGGCCCCGCACTGCATAACTTCCTTTGTAATCCAAATAATATATCTTAAACAAAATGAGAGACTACTAAACGAGAATATCTCGATCTTTCCGACAAATAAAGCAAATAAAAGATGATTTCAAATGAAATTATTTCAGCATAACAAGAATTTTTGTGAAATATATCCTACTTATTTCTGTTTGATGCATCACTGAAATTCAGTAACTAGAATCACGCAAATTATTCCGCAAGGTGGTGGCACCTGTCGGAGTCGCAATCGCAAGGTAGCATATCCACAGGTGTATGAACAAATTATGTTTTATTATACATTACGTTATACAATACATTTTTATGCATGTATGTATATATTGTCGAACAAGAATTTTAAAGATCTTTTTTATATCTGGCTATTCTCAGTAAGCAACTCGGATGGGAGTAACTTCAATGATTGGGATTCATCGTTGTATTCGGATATTTCTTTATCACGTATTGAAATCTCCAAACCACCCATCTACATAGAATATATCGTTTAATATATTAATTAGTTATATTTAAAAATTTCACCATGCTTTATTATTTATACGGAATCATTAAGAATGAGAAAAATTTGATATAATCATCGATATCATTTCAAAATAATAATACATATTCTTATATAATCTATATAGTTGAATTACTCATACATATTCAACTACATTTCATGTTTCATCAAACTTTCATATACATATATATGTACGTATGTTTATACATATGTCATAACAATATACATACAGTATAAAATGTTTGTCCTTGCTTCTTATTACAATTATTCTTGTATCAATATCATGTTATCAATTTTTTAAGCTGTACAGAATGGAATATAAGATATAAGATAGAATGCCTACCTACCAATATCTTTTATAAATTAGTCACAATGTAGGTAGGGGTATTAACTAAATATACAATATATATATAAATACAAGATATATTGTACATAAACTTCTATATGTGGGACCACTGACTAAGGACAGGATAGATGTGATATTAAATGGAACTTTGTGTTTCAGGTTATGAAATACCGACCTGCCAGAAAATCAGAGTGTTTCTTACGTCCTCTGTGATTTTTCATGGCGAACATAAGAATTATTACCGACGTACAGAATAAACGTGACATTTTTGGCGTCAGCTTACCAACGGCTTGCTGTTTTACCGATGTAATTATTAAGAACTTTTGTATCTATCGTTGTTATATTTATCGAAATTGCATCCCCTCATAGACCAGCATCTCCCCTACAGCGAAGAACAGGGTATGAAATGGATTGTATCACTGGACCTTGCGTCTTTATTTTTTAACGTTTCACTTAATCTAACTTGGGAAAATGACAGAAAAGACAAAGGTGAGAGAGTTAAGCATAAATGATAAGACATTCGAATTCGCTTTAAAAAGACCTATTTATTGATTGAATTTAAGAAATTATACAATAATCTTTGTAATTAAAGTTAATTTTATCTAAGTTATTGCACAGCGATATTCGAGACTGATAGGATCCGTCGATGATCCGTCGATAAAAGATCAAAGAAACGATTAGTCATACACAATCCAAGTAATCATTCACATTTGAATCGTAAACTATAATGTTTATAATTTACGCGTCCAATTTTTGAAGGAAAAATTTAGTTTTATGAAAATATAATTTCAATCCAAACCACTACTATTCTGGATCGATAATATCGCATGTGATACAAAAATATTCTGTACCTCGTCGGCGGTGGGACTTCGTGTCTCACGTTCTGAATTACCGACCTAGAAAAAAATCAGAGTGTTTCTTACGCCCTCTACGATTTGTTAGTCAATGACTTAGTCACAGACGTTATACTATACTCGGTAATATCGGAAATGACGTTAAAATGGTAAGAGAACTCGGTATTCAAGACGTGAAGCAGAAAAATGTGTTCTGTATGTCCTGTATGCGTCTTGCTGTGTACTTACATATATATAGTTAATTTTGAATATAAGACTGTGTTAGTATTTTACTTGTATCGAGATCACGTTAACGAGTAGAAGTTTAGAAGATTACTGTCTTGATGCTTGGTATGACACCCAGATTGAATAAAGTATTATAAGTAAGTTTGTTGTCAAAAATTCTATATAGGGTTTGGCAAGGCGCCGGCGCCGCTCTATAAATAGTGCGTACAACGCCAACCGCCGGTCGCGGCTCATGAACAAAGTAAAAGGACTGCCAGCCATCGTTTGTGCACGACGAGATAGTATTGTAGCTGATTGTAGTTAACGGTGGGTCATTTCTGCGTTTTGTGCCATCTACCCGCGAAGATAGATTTATTGGTTCGCTGCATCGTATACCAATCAATTCGATAAGTTTGCGCGTCAAATTTGTTAGAGGGTAAACTATGTATCTCTGTACCATATCAAAGAGTTGCTAATATTGTCGTCAAAAATTATTGGCAAAAGTCATTAAATTCGGCTGTATGTAGGGTGTTTTCTACTTTTTAAAGACGCTGCAATAGCACGAGTGTTGACTGGACGATATGCAGCATGTTCGTTGACGCAATGGCACACATTAAGATGTGACTTTATTCGTGATCGCGTCAGCTGATCGACAACCTATCGAGTAAATTAGGTGATTATGTAAATTCTAGTTTTGAATAGCCGTACTCGTGTCCTGCAAAACGTTATCGGGCACCTACGTACCTCTGTGTGACACAATATTTGCGAATTGACCGGCTAGTTCTCCACCTGCCTACAAGAAAAACTAATTATACTATCCGTGACGAAAGATTACTAACTATACAACCCTTTCCACCAGGCACACGAGCACTTTTCAAATCTATATGGGGACCTTGATGGAGATTTATTTGCCTGTCCGTTGGATAAAACTGACTTATGCTTAACGAAAATCGTGGATCGAGTGTTTAATACTTTAATGTTTACAGTTTGAAATGAACCGGGAAAAGTGTCAGAGAGAGGTAATTTATTAAATGGCCTATATATACAATTAACGTTAATATGATTTTCGTACTATGAATTATTTTTTTTCTATAAACATTGATTGTAATATTAATATAATTATTTGTTTATATATTACTAAGCACAATGAGAATAATATCGATTAAAAGAAAAATTTATTTGTGAAATTTGTGTCGTAATGTAGAAGTTTTTACTTATCCTTTCGAATACGTGTATTTAAAAATTAATTAGAGGTTCCATTTTACAAGGAATACGACGTATATTTTTAAGCGAGAGACCAAGGATATCGAGTTACATGGCGCGTGAAACCTTGTTTCATTTTATAACCATGGAATATTTATTTTTACGCGACAATTCGCGCGTAAACGTACGTATGCCGTGTCGACGATTCGGTAGGCACATCGCGCTTGTTTTAAATTTATACTACTTGCCATTCTTTAAAAGAATACAATATGTATGCTCGCAAGTAATACACATAGTAGTGTGTGCTGTAGTAATACATTTACAATTAGACTAATAATAATTCAGGTAAAAAGATGTTTGTATATATATGTGTGTATATATATATATATATATATACACATATATATATTACCTGAATTATTATTATATATATATATATATATATATATATGCTGTGGGATTTGATTGAATTTTGATCGAAATAATTACGCGAAATTGTTGTAGCAATGAGATAGAAAATATTACATAGTAAAATTTAGTCAAAAATTTATCTAGTTCATAATATAACGAGTAATCGTTCTTAGCTTACGTATCATCGTCCAATCGTAGTCCAACTTCGCACTTATACATAGATAGTTTCAAATCGGTGAATCAGTGATCGTAGGCTAGCTATAAACAAAGAATTTCTTCTGAAACTTTATATTTACTTTTCACGTAATGTTATGCGGTAGCATGACTGCAAAGATAAGTACTACGTATGTTAAGTCCTTTAACATAAAATACAATGTGATTAGAAACACGATCGAAAATATAGATAAATACAGTATCGAAGCGACGTTGTCTGGCTTACGACTGATTATTACCGATTATTTCTTTCACTCTTTTTCGACTTACATACTCGACGCGTCGTTGGACCGGATACCGTGATATTTGATGTTTAGATCGGCGATTAGAATGGCTCTAGTAATGTTACCCTGTGACTTACCATGGTGGCCTGCCGTCGTAAAGCAACTGGACCGGGCGGCTGCTGCCAGGAATTCCGAAGATCTCGTGGAAGCGATGCAAAGACTACACGACATGTGCAAGTAAGTATGTCGTCACTACAGCTATTTAAATGAATATCACGCATACGCGAATTTCGATTAACCGGTAACGCGAATATATATGTATGATATGCATATCGAATCGATTTGATTGCTCCGTCTCGCGGAGATATTAACGAACTCGATTTTTTTGCTACATGCTGTTATAAAGATACGAGGAACAGTGCATACTGAAAAGGTATCTGATCAAAAATATTTCTAAATATCCATAAAAGATGTACCCAAATGCTCTTAAGTATACAACGCCTATCTGTACAAAAATCACCCATGTTTTAAATGTTTTTTTGTACTGTAATTGTTACGTGTTTTTATAAATTTTCCAGCCAGCTTTAACGAGTTACCCTAAGCTATTTCGTGTTTATTTTACAGCATAAGTCTTGATCCTGAAGAGGACGTACAGGATCCTGAATTATTTTCCGGATTGGCGACATTTCTTGATACCGATCTCGATTTCACCGAACGGGATCAAATCTTTATAAATACGATACCACGAATAGTAGAAAGAGCGAAAGCTCTAAGATCTTGTAAACCTCCGCAAGGTTTACACTTTAGTCTTCAGCAGCAAGGTAATTTGTAATAAATTTTATTTAATTCAATGTCGAGCGATTGACAATAATATAATAATGTAATAAATATCCTGGATAAGACGAAACGAGATATTTTTGTCTACGTTGTAGGAGATTGCGTGGAGTACAGTTATGCCTTCATTTCATCTTTAATCGCGAACGCGTTCTTCTCCACATACCCAAAAAGAACCGCAAAGACGCACCCAACTTTACGGGACTTCAATTTCACAAATTTCTTCAAACATCTTCATAAGTAAGGATCAAGCTCAAGAAATTGAGTAAAAAGTATTTAATGTTAAGGATGCTTTCAGCAAAGCACAGGACAAAAGGTCAATATGACACGTAAATGTAATTCTGTGTTATTTTTTTTTTTTTAGTAACGGGCAAAAAGCAAAACTGAGAAGCATATTTCGCTACTACGACTACCTTGATACTGAAAACGCTTTAGATGGAAAATTAATAATTTCTAGACAGGTACTGTATGCTATAATTTCGATGCTATAGTCTTATCAAAATCTCGTGATATCGAAATGAACGTCAAATTTTTAGGTAATGATATCAAAACAGTGGTTAACTATTGAGGACTGGTTAGAGAGCACTGTTCCTTTATGTCCGCTGATGATACGCCACGAGGGTCGTTTAGACAGAGTGGAACCAGAAGCTAAAGTACTGCGAGTTTGCTTTGCGAGTGCGAAATTTGGTGGCGGTGTACTTGATGGTGATGTTACGCAAGAAACCGTACATGTAAATAATTAAAGGCGTGAGAAAAATAATTTCCATCTGGATTAATCGTAGCTTTCTAAAAGAAAAAAAGAGAGACCGAAAAAACTAAACAATAGAGATTGTTTTCGAAATAAAAAGCAACGATTATAGTTATTAATTTAATTCTTAGATAGCAACGCATCCCGAAATGCTCGTGGCAATATTGTCTGTCGAGGGTTTAGAAGACAACGAAGTTTTAATAGTCGAAGGAGTTAGGCATTTATCTAGAATAAATGATCCTCGCAACAGAGCCATATTTGAAGCTCTGCCAAAACCAAATATCGTTAGTATACTATTATCATTTTTCTCAATTTTTCTTTTTACTATCGGTATGTTTTCATTTACGCTATTTCTTTGTTATTTTTGCACAGGTAACGGTATGCTGTATCGATCCTGAAGATTATTCACGATTACCTTTGTCACAATTCGAAGAAGATAATATATTACGAGAAATGAATAAATCTTTACTTGGATTCCGACAAAGACATATTCCAAGTAGCCCAACTGATCCTGTAAAGTCAGAATCAGATATAGACGTTACAGTTGCATCTCGGAGATTATCACCGATCGGAGAAAGTTTTAGTAGCACTCCTCCAGAAATAGAAGGGGATGATAAAATATTATCAACAAATAACGGTACCAAAGGAGATACGATAAAAAAACCATTATCGAAGATAATTAATAATCACGCAGAATTATAATTCGTATCTGTTTTTAGATAAATCTGTGTTATGTGAACACAAGTATGATATTTTCACAGAAGTTCGTAGCAAACCAAATGGTAAATCCATAAGATCACCTAGTCCCCATAAAGTGTACAATGATACTAGTTATACAAACAAAAGAAATCGGTTTATCGTTCTTGGATCCAGCGGCGAAGTTTTGCCAGTTACACGAAAGTCACTTGGCCAAATGTCGGTTTACAGTAGTTGTAATAGTCAAAGTACAGACAGCTTCCATAGCGCGAAAGATACTATAGATGAAGATTTGGGTATGTATGTAATATTTTTAATCAATCGTCTATATTACAAAACGCGGAATTTATATATTATTATTTGTTGCAATAAAGAGGAAGAAGAACAGAAATTAAGTAAACGCTACAGCACTCAATTGGATACCCCAGAACGAAGAGGAACTTTCGCTCAACGATTAAGAGACGCATTAAAACGAGAAACTACAGCTACGGGAGCTGCTTCGTTGAATACTTCGTTTGGAGAGAGTAGCTATGCAGTAGGAATAAGCGTATCTGGAAGTCACGTTTGCGATCAAGATATTAAGTAAGACAATTTATTTAAATACGCACACTGTACCATATTTAAAAATTTATTTTATCTATATAAAATTATATAGAGTAAAAAGAGGAGGTTCAAGGGGTTTTGTTTTACGAGATGAAACGGTGGATGAAGATTTTTTGAAGGAATCTTTGGAAGCTGAACAAAAATGGTTAGGTAGATTTCGGCAAAATCAACCTATGCTACAAAGAAGAGACACAAGTGCAAGTAGTAGGTACAGTTTCAGCACTGAATACAATTCTGGCAAGTATTACACTGAACATTTTATAGATAATATACTTTAATCAGCTTTTAAATATAATGTAAGGAAACTGACTTATTTTCTTATGTTAAGATTTTTGTTCGGAACTCGAAGAAGTTTACGAACAACTGGCGAAGTGGTTAGAGGACCCTATAACAGCAGATGAGTCTCGTGAATTAGACGCGAGAGATAGAGCAGTAGTTCAATTCGCAGGCTCATTATTAAAAAGAGCTCTTAGTGAATCGTTTGCTGGTGTTCCAGTTCAAGAGGGCGAGCCGCAACCTTTCATTGATTCTACCGACGTAAATCAAAGCCATAAATTAGCTTTGGCTGTGAGAAGTTTGAGTTTAGAGCTAGCCCGTCAAAAAAATAGGAGGCAACAATCAGTAAGAAACAAGATGCTTTCCTTTCCTTCAGTCAAAATTACTTGATCTTTGAACGAAACAATAATATTGCAAACATACATCTATTAAAATGGATTATTAATGATTCCATAGATTATACATTTTTTTATTTTAAATTATTGTATCGATGAAGAATGAGAGACAAACTGAAGACTATTGCTATGTTAAATAACGTTTTATACATAGCCAAATCTCATCAGTTCATTACGCTATACAGGTGTCTGTGTCTGAAGATGTAGAATATTCTGAAGATGCTTTAAGTAATCATACTATGTCAAAAGAGGTAAAGGATATTCAACGTAAAAAGCTTAGAACGGTAACATTTACGTCTGAAGTTTTTCAAACTTTGGTTGATGACGAAACTACCGTGTATCTATCTAATCCTGTTTCTTTAAGTACATCTGGATCTGTGAAAGGGATAAACACAGCACAATCTTTCAATATCAGAAATGACAAAATTGCGCAACAATTCGAATCGAGTATAACATGTAACGTGAGCAAATTTATGTTACAAATATATTAATATAAATATAATGCATGTAATGATATCACCAATTAATTATCTTTTACTATGATAACGATAAATGCCTTTTAAACTTAGTTACTTATTGCATGATGAATTACAAGTATATACTTCTCTATCTGGCTTAAAATATTTTTTAATTGTATTCCCAATAACTAATGATTTGTCTCTCATTCTATCTGATAACGTCTTCAATGTCTCTTACTCGTAGATTAATATAGTATTACTTTTATATTAATATAAAATATGATATAACTTGTTGTGCATTTTATAATAACATTGTCCAAGATTTTATAGTTTTATGTGGCTTGAATTACGTTTATATAAAGATGACAAATAATTTTGAATTTACTAAAATAATCTTTTAGATACCAAGAGATGGTAGTCCACAAACAGGTGGATTATTACCTGTTGCTACAGGCAACTGGGGTTGTGGATCCCGTTTAAGGGGTGACCCACAATTGAAGCTTGTTATTCAATGGCTTGCTGCTTCCTTGGCAGGAGTACCAAAATTAATATATTATACTACAGGAAATCCCAGTTTGTCTAAGGTAACAAATACAACACTAATCGTATATAACATTTTCATACACAATTCCATTTGTTTTATCACTTTGGATTTGACATTTCAGTTAGATACTGTGAGTAGAGTTCTTATGGACAGACATTGGTCAGTCGGCGATTTAGCCGCAGCAACATTAAGATTTGCGTTACACATTATTGATGAAAGAACGGAAGGAAGAAATACTCTTTTTGAGGAGATAATTGGTATGGATAAACCAAGTCCTTAGCCCGATTTAATGCTGTCTGTTTTGGTAGACATACTTGCTACCATGATCGAAGACAGCTTATTAAATACTTGAAGGTAATATCAAAACAGTACAACAAACGAGTGTGTGTCTTTTGCAATTCGTG